GATCGCACCTCCCGAAGTTCGAGGTGCGCTTGTGGGTCTTCAGCAATTGAGCATTACCCTGGGTATCATGATCAGTTTCTGGATCGACTACGGCACCAACTACATCGGTGGCACCGGGAGAGATGGACAGAAGGAGGCTGCTTGGCTTCTCCCTCTCGCTCTGCAACTGGCTCCCGCTGTGCTTCTCGGTGCTGGTATGATCTTCATGCCTTTCTCTCCCCGTTGGCTCGTCCATCACGGCCGTGAAGCAGAGGCGCGCCGTGTACTCGCCAATCTTCGTAGCCTCCCTCAGGAGCACGAACTCATCGAGCTTGAGTATGCCGAGATCCGCGCTCAAAGTCTCTTCGAAAAGAAGTCTTTGGCTGAGCGATTCCCCCATCTCCAGGACATGAGCGCGTTGTCGGTCTTCAAGCTGCAGTTTGTTGCTATCGGCAGTCTCTTCACTACTAGGGGCATGTTTAAGCGTGTCCTGATCTCCACGCTCACCATGTTCTTCCAACAATGGGTAAGTGACTACGTGCGGACTGCATATAAGATATGTACTGACTGATGAACCAACGTTTAGACGGGTATCAACGCCATTCTGTACTATGCTCCAAGCATTTTCCAAGACCTTGGGCTATCGGGCAACTCGATCAACCTTCTCGCCACAGGTGTTGTTGGTATTGTCATGTTCCTCGCAACAAGTAAGTTCTCACCATGAGATACCACATGACTTCCTCGCGCTAACGAGTTCACAGTCCCTGCGGTCATGTACGTCGACAAACTGGGTCGTAAGCCCGTACTCGTCAGCGGTGCCATCGGCATGGCAGCCTGCCACTTCATCATCGCCGGTATCTCTGCCAGCTACGAGGACAGCTGGGCCAGCCACCAGGGTGCTGGTTGGGCTGCCTGTGTCTTCGTGTGGCTCTTTGTAATCTTCTTCGGCTACTCATGGGGTCCGTGTGCTTGGATTGTCATTGCGGAGATCTGGCCCATGTCCAACCGTCCATATGGTATCGCCCTCGGTGCTTCGTCCAACTGGATGAACAACTTCATTGTCGGTCAAGTCACCCCGGATATGCTTACGCATCTTCGCTATGGCACCTATATTTTCTTCGGTATCTTCACTGCCATGGGCGCTGCGTTCATCTTTTTCTTCTTCCCGGAGACTAAGGGCGTTTCTCTCGTAAGTTCCCAATTCACCTCTTGCATGCAAAGCTTCTGCTAACGACCCTCCCAGGAAGAAATGGACACCCTCTTCGGCTCTGCCGGTACCGCAGAGCGCGAGAAGGAGCGCTGGGCCGAGGTTCACCGCGAAGTCGGACTTACCGACCTTCTCGCGCGCTCTGGCCTCGTGCATGACGACGGCGTCGCCGACTTCCACAAGGGTAGCATGGAGAAGGAGAAGCCAGAGGTTCTCGAGCAGGCATAATTCATGCTTCAGTAGACCTGTTGAAATGAGCAAACCAGTTGGGTGAGGGGCTATCGGGAACGGACGACTTGTATATACTCTTTCGCTTAGCAAATCGTTCTATCTTGACATATTGGATCGCAAGCCTCAAGGTTGATATTCACTCTGACATGAAATCTCTCCTCCTCGTAGTTTGCCTCGCGACCTTGGCCTCACCCCCACTACGCCTCGCAACAGTCGTGACCACCGGTTTCTTCGGCACCTCCTTCCTCGCCCCAACACCCCGCTTCCCATTCTCCCGCTCTATTCTCTCCCTCTCCGCTTCTTCAACGGTCTGCTCCTGGATCCTCACCGCTACCTCTTCCCACACGCCCGGTACACCCGTCTTCATCGTGTACAACCGCCCCTCTTTAACGTAGAACTTGAACCGTGGTTCACTCATGACTTCCAGCATACGCTTAAAGATTCCCTTTTCCCTCTGCCTCTTAACCCACGCCTCGCTCTTCGGTAACTCGATGTTTGCTAAACGCAATTTTTTGGGTGGCAAAGCGCGGAGTTCGTGCAGGAAAGCGGTGGTGTGTTTGCGGAAGGGGAAGATTCGCAAAGTAACGAATTCAAGCTTTGTGTTTGCGGTGGCGGCGGTGTTTTGACGCAGGCTCCTGGCGAAACGGAGGAGTTCGGGCCGGGAGCGGCGGGCGTAGTTGGCGGTGGCGGGGATCTGGAGGAAGACTTGGTGGACGAAGGGGGCGGTTAGGTAGGCGAGGGTTAGGGTGGGGATGGTGCCGAGGATGCCGACTGGAGGTTGTTAGATCTCTTGCAACACCAACTAGATGAACACAGAATACGTGTGGCTTTTGGTTGTTTTGGTTCCGAGACGAGGTTGTGGTTGAAGGGGTATGTAAGGGAACATCATGCCGCCACCACGTGATGAGTGCTGTTTCGGACCTGCGCAGAATCGGTCGGACAATTCAAGGAGGTGGATGATATATCCCAAAATGTGATGAGGCCAGATCCGGAGCGCATCGATGTGACGAGAGAGCGGAATAGGTTCGGTGCATTTGGCAAGAAAAGTGGTGTAGATGAAGAGATTCGAATCATGATAGTTGACCAGGCATTGACAAAGTTCACTTACCGGTTATGGCCTGCATCTTCCGTACTCTCTCATCAGGTTGATTCTCGTTGTTCCATAGTGGAGGCACACCGAAGACAAGAGTTGTGCCAAACTGCAATAAGGCCATTGCTTTCCAGAAGGATATCCATGTCGTTCTGGCGTCGCCCGCATCGTAGATCAGCAGTCTTGACGCATACACTGGAAATCTTCGTTAACGATGGTCGCTTCTTGTTCGTCGTCCGACTACGTTCGAGTCATAACATACTCTTCTCATTCTCTTTTCCGACTGGTTCGGGTGCCGACTTGGGCTTCTTTCCCCGTTGTAATGGTAATGTGGGATCTCTGCGTATCGTGGTAAATTTTCGCTGGCAACTCCGGCAGATGTATCCATTGAGGCGAGCTTGAGCGGCTGGTCGTGTGCCTCTAAGTGTGGGCGCTGTGCTTCGAAAAGCAGCCGCAAAGGCGAGAAGCCGTGGCTGCATGCCTTCTGCGGTCAACGGCTGTGAAGAAAATTGCACACGTGTGTGGGCTTCGTCGGGCCTCGATGCGCTGGATCCCTTCGCTGCGCGACCGCGAAATTGGGTCGCTGGATGTCCGACGTAGCGGGAGGCTTACTCAGCAATGAAGCCGTACGGACGTGTAGGGACGTGGATGGGCTGCGATGGTGCTTGTCGAAATGTCACGGTGTCACGTGCGATGATCGGCTTGCCGCGGCAACTCTAGCCGAAGCGGGTCAAGCTCATGTCCGGAGAGATGCCACGGTTCCCTCGACCAGCTACAAGCGGCCCACTCAACGACCGGCGCCGTCATGCTCCTTTCTCGGTCGTGAGCTATCTGTTGCAGTGTTTTAACTTTGTCGAGGTTCTTCATGTGACCAGTCGCGAGCATGTTGTTCGCATTCGCGCTGCTGTCGCTCGTTTCCTTCTTGTCCCTCGGATACGCCTACCAGGGCCTCAGCGACCATACACTCAAGCACCTGCCGGGACCGGGCGATGACTTCGACATAAAGAAAGGCTCTTTGCTGGCGCCAATCCTGGTACCCAGAGTCTCTGGAACAGAAGGCAATGTCGCCGTGCGCCAACATTTCCTAGACTTCTTCAAGTCGCAATTGCCGGAATGGAGGCTGGAAATGCACAACTCGACGTCGACGACGCCGGTGAGCAAGGGCAAGGAGGTGCCTTTCGTGAACATTATTGCGACACGCGATCCGCCGGGTAGCTCCGAGGGAGATGTCTCGAGATTGGCTCTCGTGGCCCACTACGACAGCAAGTACACGCCGACAGGCTTCATTGGGGCGACCGACAGCGCGGCCCCATGCGCCATGATCCTGCATATAGCGCGCAGCATCGATGCGGCGCTGACGAAGAAGTGGGCGGCGGCCGACCCCGACGATTTCGACGTGGAGCACAAGGGTGTGCAAATACTCTTGCTGGACGGCGAGGAGGCGTTCAAGAGCTGGACCGACAGCGACAGTCTTTATGGCGCGCGGTATGCTTCACCGAATCTTTCTTGGCGATCGATTACTGACGCACAACAGAGCCCTCGCTGAGGACTGGGAGTCGACTTTCCATGTCGCATCATCGATATATCGCACCCCGCTCGACTCGATCGATCTGTTCCTACTACTTGACCTCCTTGGCTCCAAAGGCCCAAAGGTCCCCTCATACTTCAAGACGACACATTGGGCATATAAGCACATGGCGACTGCTGAGGCACGCCTGCGCAAGCTAGGCTTAATGAAGTCGTCCCCAAACCACGAGTCGAAGATGGCAAAGCGCGAGAACAAGAAGCCTCGCGACGAACGTCCGTTTCTGCCCGACGCGAACAAGGGAAATGATCAGTTCATGGGCGGCTTCGTACAGGACGACCATGTTCCGTTCATGGCTCGCGGCGTCGAGATTCTGCATATGATCCCTACGCCCTTCCCGCATGTGTGGCACACTATCGAAGACGACGGAGAGCACTTGGATATGGATACGGTAGAGGACTGGACGAAGCTGGTCATGGCCTTCACTGCGGAGTGGATGGAGCTAGAGGGCTTTTTCGACTTCAAGGCAGAGAAACGGAAGCAGGATGGCGAGAAGTCGGAACTGTAAGCATCTTCCCATCAACTTGAAAGCATGTAAGTTAACATACTGTAGTGAGATACCCTAGACCCTACGAATGAATTGTTTCGAATGTATAATCGAGCTGTGCAGCGCATTGTGACACTTTTTGAACGACTCGACACCATGCTTGGTGATGCTTACAGAGACAAAGCCAAGTCATGTTCACAAAGCAGACCTCTCGCATGTCTTTGACCCGTGACTCGTTAAAGACACTAGCTTGGCTAATACATGTGATCTCTTGAAGTTGCACTCGCAGCAATGTCTCGAGCATCACTTTGGCATTCTTCTCCCATGGTGTGCGCTTTTAGTAACCCATGCTCTTTTCTAGGATTACTAGCATTTACCCGTTTGTACATTTTCCACTGAACACTACACGACCGCCACCACGATGCCAAAAGGCAAAGCCAAGAGGCGTAACCCGCTACCGTACCACGGCTCTGCAGAGCCGTACGAGACTCACCAAGGCTCATCACACAGACGTGGCGGTACGCACAAAGTACGCGATGAGAACAAGACTGACTCCGTCTACGACAACTTGAACTACAAAGAGCTAGTCGAAACAGCAAAGGAGCGCAGTATCTACCGCAAGGATATGAAGAAGGTAGAGATGGCTTGGGCCTTGAAACACGACGACGAGAATCGAAAGCGTGCTGAACAGGACGCCCGTATTGCTCGGCAAAGGAAGCTGGAGGAGGCAAAGAAGGAAGAGGAGAGAAAGGCTGCGGAGAAGAAGGCCCAGCTCATTGCTAAGCAAAAGAAAAGAAGAGAGAAAGAGGAGAGGAGAGAGCGCGACGAAAGCGTCAGTGACGACACTGTGAGTGATCCCGACACTGAAGACGGTGAAGACGCAGGGAACGAGTACAACCGCGAGAGATTCGGTGAGGCGCTCAGTGAGGAGTCATGGGATAGCAGTTCTTCAGAGTCTAGTGCTGCACCAGTAGACCTGATCTACGAGCCTGGATGCAGACTCCGCCTCTCCGAATGGCCCAACCAGACCATGCCATCCGTCAAACCCGGGGGTTGGGATTACAAAAGATGGTGCCCGCTGCCCTTGCCCTGTCCCGTTCCTTATGCACCTCTGAAGATTACTACGATGTACAGCAAGCAAAAGCTCATATTGCCAGGAGCGAAGTACCCGCCAAACGTCACCCCAGACTTCGTCCCCATCCTTAACCCCTTGGTCCGATCCGCAGCGCGTAACGGCCATCTCCTTGGCCCGCTCCGCAAAGCCGTTGTCGAGAGAGGTACGGATTGGGCTCAACGCACGCTCATTCAGGGCTGCAACGGCCACATGTACTTTCACCTTGGCTCTCGAAACGAAACGAAAGTCCTGGCCGATACATACAACAAGTGGTATCTGGAAAACAGAAAGCTGCTGCGCGTCAAAGGGAAAGGCAATGGTGACCCTAGCGATCGCGCTGCACGCCACGCGCAACGGCAGAGGAATAAGGCGAAGATGACGGCGGAGGTGTATGAAGCGTCGCAGTATCGGCCGTTGGCTATGTGCTATGTGCCTGCTTATTTGGGGTATGGTGAGCTGGCTGGAGACGGTGTGGCGAAGAAGTGTTTGGAGAACTTGTTCTTCGTTAGGTTTCCTGGGTGCGATGTACCACATTATTACTTCTGGGCGAGGGAGGGGGAGTGGGGCGATCCTACGGTGGTGAATCCGGCGTGGAGTGCTCAACAGTGGAAAGAGAAGGGCACTATGGGCATGGAAGAGAACGGGAAGAAAGGGGAAGGATCGAGAAGAAGTCGGCCTGCTGGAACGCAGTTGGTGCGCGTCCGCAGGTCATCTATTGACCTTCCATCCTGTCCACCATTCCCGAATCCAACAACCATCACCGAAACCATCTCACTAATCGAGCACCAAATCTACCGAAACGGCCTAACCGGAACCCTCACGCGCTACCGTCACAAGTGGGCTGCAAATGGGAAACAACGTGCCTGGCAGACCTTCGCCGCAGCATTGCCAAAGCTATGGCCTAGTGGCGAGATACCAAGTGTTCCACCCGTGCGTAGCGAACCTGGCGTGAAGCTTTCGGTTAAACTGGCTACGATCGATTGCTTGAAGGAATATGGCCAAACGCCGTTCAGTCCGTTGAATGGGACTGAGGCGTGGACGAGGGATGATGATCGGGTATGGAGTGTGGTGGAGGTGGGTGTCGAGGAAGAGCTCGTGTCACCTGTCGCTTCGACCGAAGAAGACGAGGATGAAGATGAGGGCAAGGATAGAGAAGAGGAGGCTGGTGAAAATATGGAAGACGAGGGCAACGAGGCAGACGATGAGGCGTTGTATCGCCGCGATAGCGTTATTTCCGTTCTGGATTTCATTGTGTCAGATTCAGTTGTGGCTTGGCTAGAACATGTCGAGGATAGGTTTACGGTGTCGCCTACGCTAAGCGAACCGCTTTATAGACAGACAGAGCTACGCGAGAGGGAAGAAAGACACCTGCTAGGTAGCAACAACTCGAGCGGTGGTCTTGCGGTCGTCGACGGCTTGTACTCGTTCTGCTACACACTGTAGAGAGATCTCAAAGCATAAGTAAGTAGATATATAGTAGTATATAACCTTAAACTTTTAGAGTCTATCTCTTTATTATAAAATTCTATGTAGCTTTAGATAAAGCTAAGCTACTCTACTTTCTAGCTTTGCTAGTAGGTAGTATTTAGATTTTTTTTTTAAGTATAAGACTACGTAGACCTTAAAGTCTACGCTAGCCTAATCTTTTAAGCTATACCTTACGCTATACACTTATTACACTACTTCTATCTAAAGTTTTAACTTCTATCTAAAGTATTAAAGTAGTCTAATATAAGATACTATATTAATCTACTCTATACGCGTGTAAAACGCTAACCTCTATAATTATAGAATTATATAACTAATTATATACGTTTCTAGTTAGGCTAATTAATATATATACTTTTATTCTATCTATAATAATTTTAAAAGCTCTATAAGTAGAGTAATAAAAATCTAAAATCTAAAGTTATTCTAGATAGAATTAAGCTACTCTACTTTCTAGCTATACTAAAAAGTAGTAACTAGATTTTAGTAAAGCTTAGTTATTATATAAGTCTTAAAGCTTACACTAGTTATTTTTTTAGACTATACTTTATACTATACACTTATTATACTACTTTTATTTAAAGTATTTACTTCTATTTTATATTATAAATAATATACTTTATAGTATATATAGTAAGTTAATATAATACGTTATATTAGCTTATATAATTATATTAAGTTTTAGTATTTCTTACTAAGACTTAGTCTAGGCTTTATCTAAAACGCTAATCTTTATAATTATAGTAATAATTACTATAATTATATTTTATAGCTAATAGAACACCTACTTCTATTAGCTAATTAGTAGCTAGACTTTTATCTAGTATAAGTTAAGTATATATAGCTTTATAAGTAGAGTAATTATAAAATAATAAAATATATATTACTATCTCTTTTAGTATCTTAAGTCTAATTTAGAGTTATTTTTATAGTAAAAAGATATAAAAATATATTAAAAGATATTAAAAGACTTTAAACTAGCTCTTTTAAAGCTACTTATAAGAACCTAGTCTTAGACTACTAGACTAATATAATCTAAAAAAGTAAGAATAACTAAAATAGTATTCTTAGTCTAAGATAATATATATATAGATAGTAAGATTTAAGCCTAATAAGCTCTAGTATATTCTACTAAGCTATATTAGGTCTTAGGCTTTATACTATCTTCTCTTTTAGATTCTAGCTAAATCTCTAGCTAGATATATATATACTAGCCTTAAAGCAGCTTTATATATATAAATAGAAGCTTATCTATTAGCTAGAACTACTAATTTAGTTCTAAGTAGCTTTTACTTTAGGCTATATATAAATCTCTAAAAAGAATACTAGACTTTACTCTTTTAGAGTAGAGATTTAAACTCTAAACTTAGAAAAGGTTTATCTTAGTTATTATATAAGAACTTAGTCTTAGACTACTAAACTAATATAACCTAAAAAAGTAAAAATAACTAAGATAGTATTCTTAGTCTAAGATAATATATATATAGATAGTAAGATCTAAGTCTAATAAGCTCTAGTACGTTCTACTAAGCTATATTAGGCCTTAGGCCTTACACTACTAGATAATTCTAATATTAATTTAGATATTACTATAGTAATAAAGTTATTACTAGTCTATAGACTAACTCTATACTTATCTATATAACTTTCTAGTTTATACTATAACTAGAAATAACTAGAAATAATATAATATATAGTAATAAGTAGACTACTAATAAAACTTACTATATTTATTCTTTATTAACTATAACTATAATATTATCTTTATTCTTTAAGTAGCTAATAACTATAATATAATAATAATTTTCTTATAGTTATACTCTTAATAGCTTTAGTAAAACTTTAATACTACTACTATCTATATAATAATATCTATCTACTAGAGATAACTTAAAAACGCTTTATTCTTATTATTTTATATTTTATTACTTTTCTTAAGAATCTGCTTTAAAGCGTACTATTATAAGTAAATATAACTTTATATTATATAGCTAAGATATAGCTTTAACTCTATTTTAACTATATATATAGTAAAGAGTACTTAATTATTAGTGTATTACTAGAATTCTCTAGAATTCTAGTAATATATAGAGCTTTAGCTACTAAATAATTTATAATATTAAAATCTAAGTTATAAAATAAGTACTATATCTTATTAATAAGATTATTAAAAGTAAAGTTCTAGTAAGAAATAATAGTAAAACTAATCTATTTTATATACTTTTATAAAATACTTATAAAATAATAACTATTAATAGTTTTAGTAAATACTATATTATAAGTAAAGTAGATCTTAATAGTATATATAATAGTAGTAGTTATAAAAATAATAAAAAAGGTTATAAGATTTACTATAATACTATCTTTTATAATAATCTTAAAACAACTTATAAAGTAATAGTAATATAATTTAGAGAAAAGTAATTAAATAATAATAAAGTAACTTAGTAGAGCTCTAGTAAGGTAGTAAAGTAATATAACTAGTAAAAGATTAGTTTTATTCTTATTATTACTAAAAAGACTTATAAATTATTTAATATACGTATAAGTATAGTTATATATCTTTAGATTTCTAAAAGTAGTAACTTATAAAATAGAAGAAGCGCGCTTTTATTAAGAAAGATTATAGTATATATATTCTAACTATAAAGCTTTAGAATATATTACTCTATTAGTTAAAAGCTAATAAGTATATATAATTATATTATAATTCTTTTATAAAGTATTTAGAGTTAGAATAGCTCTATAGCTAGTCTAAATTTAGAAGCTTTAACTATCTTAGAGATAGTAGTACTAAGGCCTTAAGCCTTAGCTTAATTACTTTTAGAGTACTTAAACTTTTAGTTATATATTTTTTAGTATACTAGTAATAGACTTTACTTTTCTAGAACTAGTTTATAGACTATAAAATTATTAGTTTACTAATAGATTACTATCTCTTTATAGAACTTAAATAAGTCTAATTATTAGAACTTCTTAGGTACTAGTTCTATATCTATTTACTATTACCTACTTAATTATACTAGTTTCTTAGTAAATAAGAATTTTTTTTTATTTTTAAAAAAAAAGAATCTTTAAGCTAGCTAAAACTAAAAATACTTTTTGCTTTATCTTTTAAATAAAAATTAGAAAAATACTTTCTTAAAAATAATTATAAGTTAAAATTTTAATTTTAATAGATTTTTAAAAACTTTATAGAAAGCTTAAAATACTTAATATATTAAAAAAACAAGATTAAATATTTTAATAAAGCTTAAAATATATTTAAAACTAATTAAGAATTAGAAAAAACTACTTAATAGACTAGAAAGAAAAATCTAAAGTTAGTATTAATACTTTTAGTAAGATTTATAATTTAATACTTAACTTAATAATTATAGTATTAAATTATAGAAATATCTTTAAAGTAGAATATCTATATAGTTTTAATTACTAAAATATTAAATAACTCTATCTAAGTCTTATCTAAAAAGATAATTTATAAATATAGTTTAGACTTTCTACATATATTTCTAAAAGAAGAATAAAAATCTAATCTCTAAGCTTTATATAGCTAGATTAATATAGAATATTTTAAGTTTAGTACTAGATTTTAGAAAGTACTTGTAAATATTATATAACTAGATCTAGAATTTTAAATATACATAATTTATCTAAAAGAAATAATTCTAATACTAAAAGCTAGAGATTATTAAAATAAGAAATATAACTACTTTTTATATATTTAATATAAAAGAGTATAAAATAAATTATTATAAGTATAGTAATCTATTTTAAAGTAAAAAATAGAAATAGCTATACTACCTAAAACTAAAGTCTATAGTTTTCTAAAAAGCTAGAACGTTAATCTTAAAGAAAATAATTCTAAATTCTTACGTTTTTTCCTTTTCTAGTTAGAGTTCTAAGCTTTTACTCTTCTAAGTATACTACTATTTTATAATTATTTTATATATTTATAGCTATAATTAGTACTTTACTATATACTTATTAATTAATAAAGGTATAGTAAAAAAGATTAGTATTTTATATAGTAATATTAGTAATTTAAACTTCTAAGCTAGTTTAGAAAAGCTATAAGTTAATAAAATACTTTAAAATATTAATTAGTAACTATAGTAGTAATATAGGTAAAAAAGCCTATATATACTTTATAGGTTATTCTACTTAATTTTAGATAATCTTAATAACCTAGTAATTATTCTCTATAAAGTAGAGTTTAATAGGTAGTTAATATAAGATAGAAGTATAAGTGCTAATTAGCTATTTAAAATAAGGTAATTATAAAGATTAGTATTTTAGTGTAGTAGCGTAAGCTGCTAAAAAATATTAAAACTTTAGATAGTTTAGAGAGTTAGCGTTTTATAAGCTTACTATAGTAGATTAATATAATATATTACGTACGCTTACTACTATAAGTAAGTAAGAAATATTAAAACTTAGAATAATTATACGCGCGCTATAGTAGTAAGTATATATAATCTATTACGTAAATTAGATAGAAGTAAATATATTATATATAGTATAAGATAGAGTATCTATAATATAAGATAGAAGTAAATATATTATATATAGTATAAGATATAATATAATTACTTATATAAGTAAGCGTATAGCTTATAAAAGCTTACGCTAGCTAGCTAGTAGCGTAGACCTTTAGAGCCTACACTTAACCTAAGTTTTATAGAGAATTTTAGCACTATATATAGAGCTATACCTTAATTTTATAAATAGCTTTATACTACTTATATATAATTATCTTAATTTTTAATTTAGCTATAAAATATTATATAAAAACTATTATATAAAATACTTTTAAAGTATAGTAGATAAAAGTAGAATTAGTAGTATTATAATAGAACGCGTAAAGGTAAATAAAAATAGAGAAAAAGTAGTAAGTAAAAGTCTTAAAGTTATAATATAGTAGTACTAGAAGATAATTATTAGTATATATTACA